CCGGCTCCAGGGCAGGAAGCGGGCGACGCACACACCCCTTTGGCTGAGCTGACGGTGGCTGACAATACAGCCAATCTGTGGGTAGTCTCTTGGGTAGTGACAATGACAGTCCTAGACTTTTGATGATTTTCCTCCTTCCACCCCTGCCAACACACCTCAGTCTCTGGGGCTTGTGGAAGAGTGACTACCTGTACATTAAGGATGAGTCTCTATGCTGCTCAAAAGCCACCTAAGCCAGTCCCAACTCAGGTGTAGACAGCACTGGGCTCCTCACTCCTCAGTCCCAGCCATAAATTTTGAACCAGAAAGCTGGACACCAAGTCTGACAGTGTGAGAGGACTTACAGTGTTTCCGAATATTTCGAATCTGGGCTAGACTGGTGTTTTCATTCATTACTGGGCAGACATTTACGGTGCATTTGTTGTGTGACTCTAACCCTCTTTTAAAATGTGGTTTGTTATTCATCTCTGTGGTCCTCTCATTGCACTCCACCCATCCCAGCACTTCTGCAGAGAGTCGGTGCTCAACTTACTCCTGTAGGTGCTCAACAACTTATGGAGGGGGTCGAGGAGCCTCTATCCTTGGAGCTCCAGCAGGAAGAAACAAAAAGCCACTCAGCAGAGGGACATAGTTTGATTCTGCCTACAAGTGGGCACTTGGTGAACTCTCGAGATCATTTCCGCCCTAAGATGCTCAGACTAGATTGAGATGGAGAGGAAAGGCCGTGCTCTCCAGTCACACTGGTGTGCTTTCCTGGTAATAGAGAAGGAACAAGGACAAAACCCAACCCCACTGTCATCCAAAGAATATCACGATGAGATTTAAATTTGAAAAGTGAAGGACTCATAAAAATGTTTACATGAAATTGATGTGCAAATTATATGCAGACAGCATTGTAATACATGCTGAATGAAGTTTCTAGGAAAAAAATCCTAACGGGTTTTGCCTGTGAGAGATGGTGGTTTCAGCTCCTGAGGAAAAAGTCCAGCTGATTGTGCTTAGGGTAGCAGGGATGTGACACACCTTTCAACAAGCTATTTTTAACCTACCGAAATGCTCTAGGAAAAGGAATATTCGAGTAGTTCTCAAAATGTATTATAGATCATAAATAAATAAAAGACTCTATTTTGTGTGCATGACTTATTCCTGGCTTACAGGGCAATTTCTATTAAGTGGAAAACTGGTTTAAGAACCTCCAAATGTTAACTGTGGAGCATTTTTCTTAAAGACTGAGCAAAGCAAATGACCTATAAATCAGTTCGAGAAAAGCCAACATCTGGAGGCGCAACATTTGGGAGATTCATCTCAGTTGCCATTTCAACTTTCTTTCAATAGATAAGGTTAGTAATTAGGGGAAGGCACAGTTTATTGGCATAAGACCTAAAAAATAGTAACGGCGAGAAAGTACTTGAAATTTCCGTTTGAAGTCGGTTTTCGTTCCACGTCTTTAGAAAAAAGAGAGGAATGACATTGGGAACAGTTCTAGTCATAAGCAGATGGAAGAAAATTCTCCAAGTATTCTGCTGTTCCCCCTTTGAACAGGATAGGACACTGTGTTTCTGATTTAGAATAAAATGAAGGGACTACTGAACTGGAGCCCAACAAAAACAGTGCTTGTCCAGGGCACTTAAATTCAGGGCAGGGGACAGCATGGCCTGCCACTTGACCACACAGCCCAGAAAACGGAAGGTGGCCTCAGGGACTCCCTTGCCCATTTCCTCCTGTCAAGTGTTCAACCTTAGTCTTCTAGAAGGGAGGGGACAATATGTGGGCCACAGTCCACCCTGATGCTGGCTCAGGCCCTGACCTCTCGAGGTCGGCACAGCCACCACTGCACCCACGCCCCACTGCATTCGAGGTCCCAGGTGGTGACCCAGAGCCCAACACAGTGGTGACGCTAGGGTGGCGTTTCCTAGACGTGCTGAGCAAACGGACGTGGTGAACCGGTGGGTATGGTGGTGGTGGAGCCTGTTTCCTATCATTAGCCTGAAGTTTGTCTGCTAGCTGGAGTTGCTGCTTTCATTACGGATCAGGGCAACGGGTCTGCCAAACTAAGTCTGAACTTGGTTGCAATTTTGGGCCTGGGAGGAAGAGCCCTTAGAGCCATCTCTCACATCCGCAGCAATAGGAATCTGCTCATGACAGATGAATGACAACCGTGGAATAAAAAAGTTTGCATAGATTCATTTGCATCAAACATAGGTTGGGGGATGAAGTGAAAGAAAAATGAAATTCAACGGCAATGAGAAAAGCCTATTTTCTCTATCATTACCTCATCCTCTCCCTCCTGGAACAATCCAACAGATGTTTCTCTCAGAGTTTGTAATTTAAAAAGGTACTTTTGCTGTGTTCCCAATTATTTTCTTTCTGACCACCCTTAGTTCTTCGATTACAACAATGACAACAATACTTGCACTTACATAAGGCTTTACTGTCTACAGATTACTTCAAATACATCACCTGGTTTGATCATTGGGGAGGTAGGTACAGCAGATTCCACAGCGCCCATACTTTACAGAAAGTCTATCTCCTGATGTGTCAGGGTTAATTCAGAATGCCTTCTGACGGGTGTGCACATGGGCATTAGCACGATCAAATGGGAGTTATCTTATTCTCCCCACCGAGCACGCCAGCAATGAGCTGACCCTCAGATGTTATCCCATAAGACCTAAAGCACATTATGTACTTTTATTTATCTTTCACCATGGGCAATGGGAATTGGATGGATGTTGGAGACTGACTTCCTCTCTCCCAGGTCAATGCTATGACTCTGGTGACATCTCTTGATATGTCCGCATGTCAATTTCCCATGGAAAAACAGTGTCCATCACAGGCGCCAGTTGTCATCAACTGAACCACCCTACAAAGCAGACCTCCACAGGTGCAATAACAACATGGTTTAATGTTGTTTCTCTGCCTATTTAACAGTGCTTGGGATTGCTGTCACGTGTCTAGGAAAAGAATGAGTAACTTAAACTTTGCTTGTTCTGGAAGAGTGGAGGAAGGATAAAGATAAAGAAAGAACGCGAGTTAAGACCACTTCTTCCCAAAGTCTAATCTTACCAGCAGGTGGTGCTGTGACAAAAGCAATCAAGAGAAACCAAGTCAGACAGGTTGGGTGTCTGGGCTCCAGAGACTGGCCCTGGTGTCCTCTTCAAAGCCAGTATTCCATGGACACACACGTGGCTGGTCCAACACCAAAAACCCTCTAGGGTTCTCAATCAGGAGCTTTGAGTCTAGTAGCAAAGCTGTGGGCCTCCTCAGAGCTTCCCACCTTCTGCTCCAACCGCTTCCTCCTTCTTCCCCAACCCTCTCCCGATTACCAGGCTTTCCAGCAGGAAAAAGGGAATGTAGCAAGCGGGAATGCCCTTTTCCCTCATACCCACCCTAGAGATCCCATGGCTTTGGGGATCTTCAAATACGAAGCACTGTCATTTAGTCTGTGAGCAGTTCTAAATATAGTATTAGATGCTACCTTGATGAGTAGAAGTGAAAGGAAATGACTCCTCAGGAAATAACTGGGAGGCTCCCAAGCAAGAGCCAGGAGACCTGTTAGTATGTCTCTGCCTCTGTGGCCACCTAACATGGGCTCATCTGTTATCTTTCCATCCACATGCCTATTAGTTCAAGCTCCCAAAGGCAAAGTTTTATCCTGTATCTCCACAGTATCTTTAAGCAGTATGTGCTCAATGTGACTCAATGATACAGTAAACAGAAGCAAACACTGACTGAACCGTGGACTGAGGAAACACCAACACCAAGCCTGTGCCTGTTCTCCCACATCAGCCACAACAGTTAGTAAATGAGATAAACCTCCACATGAGACTTGCTGGTCCCAGCGGCTGCCCCTGGCATAAGGAGCTGCCGTGGGACCCGTCATGGAATTCTCAAATGGCTGCTGCCTCAGTTGACCACACTCAGGGCAGCAAGTGTTGACCCCTCCGGAAGGGAGCTGCGGTGGAAGAGGGACCCACCCTGATAGTCTGGGTATGCCCCACTCAGGCAACAGGTGAACCCATCTCCCAGGAGATTTAAGAACTGAGGAAGTCAGAGAACCAGCCCAGATCTTCTGCAGTGAATAAAGCACTACTGTTGTAAAAACCCAGAGCTTTCCAAGTCTGCTCCAATCCAACCGAGCAGGGCAAAGACTGAGGAAGGCAAGGTGCTGGTGAGTGCGGATGGGCGCAAGGATCCTGAGATGGTTCTGTTTCTGGTCTAGAGCAGAGAACGCTGGGCTTGGGCAGTCTAGTCCTTTGGTCTCTGGGTCTCTTCCTGGGCTGAGATGAGCTCAATCTTCTTTCATGGCCTTAGTGGTTTTCAAAGAGCACGGTGTTTAAGTAGCCTGACACAGAATGAAGTATGGACATAACCAAGGCAAGCTCAGTCTACTGATCTGGCCACTCAGTGAAGGGACAGATAGCCCGTCGCCAAGTCTACAAGAAATACTAATTGCTCTGTCCTGTCATTGAACTAGGCAGGTACTACTTGAGGGCAGACCTGAAGAAAGAAGACAGCTCTACCTGGGAAGTTGGTTCCTGTGGGATAGAGAAGACCAACAGCATCTTCAACACACGGTTCACAAGATGCAGGGTGGGGTGAGGTGGGCACTACAGTCTGTAAATGGGGACTGTTCAAATAACGGTCTACTAACCTGTTCATGTGATGGAGGGGCCCTGAGAGAACTGGAGACAAACGGGCTTGTGGGGGAGAAGTCTTCTAGGGATCTCCTCTGTGCAACCTCCACCTAGTCCCCTTTTAATGGCTCCCCTACATAATAATAACAAGAAATAGAAAGGCTGTAAGATCAGCTACTTGCATTGTTAACCATAGGGTTGATTTCACTGCCTCATTCAATGGAGGCTAACCTGTTGAGTGTTTCCCCTTAAAAAAACACCAACGTCAGAAATAGCTCATAACACCAAAGTTATATCCATTCATTCCAAACCCAAGGTGGGTGTGATCATCTGCAAGACACATCTGGCTCCTGAGACAAAAGCAGATGGGTGCAATACTTGTAAATTTTATATTTATTATAACAAAAATTATGACATGTTCATTTGTGCATTCTGCTTTAATATAACTCTTGGTATGTAAATGATCTAATTGAACTCTATACAATCATGCTGATTGTGGCAGCAGCAAGGAACACAATTAAAAAGTGTCTGCAAAAGTCAAGAGGCTGGGTGGGGACAGGAGAGGAGGAGAAAAGGTTCAGAGGCCCCCTGGGTGCAGGTTCGTTGCCAGTGGCCTAAGATCCACCTTATCTGAACAGAAATGCTCTCAGCTGCCCAGCCTCACCATTTAATGAACTAAACGTGGGTTATGGGGCGGGCGTGGGCAGGCAGGCTCCTCAGAGGGGAAGGGAGAGGAAAGTCAGTTGTTTAGGCTGTGTCCTTGTGCCAAACTACAAAACATTTGAAGCATCACTATACAACACTGAGCTATTTACAATAGAAATTTCTCAATCAACTGTTCTCTCAGAGAAAATTAGTGAATCCCAGTGACTTAAGTCACCTGACAGAGTAAAGCAACTCCTAGGAGTTAGTCTCCATATTCTACAAATGTCTATCATTTTCAAGACAAAAAAAAAAGCTTTTCCCCCCGAAGAAATACAGAATTACAATATTATTATATCACTTAGCACTGGCAACCTGCCCTGCCTTCCAAACAAACAAAACAACAAAAAGCCATTTTAAAAAATATTACATTATCATTAACTGTTTCTCTTAATATATTAAACCTTTTGCTCTTTGTCTTTACACATCTGATATGTTAGGGGAAGAAGTTAACAGATTTCAATCATATTGGTAAAGCATCACTAGAAGAAAAGTGGTAATTATTAAAAAAAAGGACCAACAGGAGGAGACCCTGGAGCCTAGCTGCAGAGACAGTTGGGGAAGTGTCTGGGAGAAGGGCGTGGGTACCCCTGGTTTAACGTGAGCCTGGGAGACTCTTGCAACTCAGTCTTTCCTGGTTCGTTTATTTCTTAAATAGTGCTCGGGCGGGTCATAGTGGTGTGTCACAGTAGTCTGGCAGCGGGTCTGCCGGGCACTGCCGCTGTGGCTGCTGCAGGGGGAGCTGTGCTGGAGGCTGCTGCTGCTGCTGGTGGTGTTTCATGATCTCCTTGACCTCCTCCTCCAGCTCTGGGGGTATGATAAACTGATCATCAGGGTCTGGCTGAGCCGGGGCCGCAAAATAGCCTCCAGGCTTTCGGAGAGGCGCGTCTGTAGCTACCTCTATCATGTTGTGGCTCCTTTCCTGGGGCGCCACAGAGCCGTTGGCCCTCCGGCGGCCAATGGTCCCCACAGTGGCAAAGTCTACTTTCCTGGGCAGACCTGGCTCATCCTCGTTGGCGCTGATGACAATCCCCTCATCGCTGGCCTCCGCTGGCACCTGGAGCAGGTGCTGCTGTTTCTCCTTCTCCTTGGCCCTGCTGCAGTGGATGTCGACTTCTACCTCTACTCGGCTGCCATTGGTAAAGACACCCTCAATTGGCTCTTCATCATCGCTGTCAAGGCCATTGTCAGAGAACGCGCTGGAGAAAGTGGCGCTGGACAGCTGGCGCTGGAAGGAGTTGGACAGGCAGACCGGGTGGAGCATGCAGCGCTGCTCGCTGGGGTAGGCAGGGCTGTTCTCATTCAGGGCTCCAGATGGGGGCTCATCAGAAGCTGTAGACCCCACCTCACTGCTCATCTCGGAGGTGGACAGCTCACTGCTGATCTCAGAGGCCATGCCGCTGCTGGAGGATGGCACGCCCAGCCCGTCGGTGGGCCGGTCCTTGATGACCATGCTGACGGAGGGAGGGAAGATGCCTGGGCTGGGTGGCGGGACAGCCCCACCTGCGCTGAGCTCGCAGCAGCAGAAGCTGTCCTCAGTGACGCTGAGCTGCACCACCACGGCGCTGATGCTGTCGTGGCAGCCATAGCTCTGGGCCAGCGTGCACAGCTTCTTGGCAGCAGCCAGGGCATCAGGCACATTCCGCACAGCCCCCACAGCCTCCTCGATGGACAGGCTGTCCCACAAGCCCTTACTTCCTAGGATGAAGAACTCGTCCTGAGGGGTCAGGGGCACAGACTGTACGTGGGGGCGAGGCACCACGCTGGGGTGGAGGAAGGTGTAGCCCAGGATGCGCGTGGACTCCGTCACTCCATTCACCTTGCCGTCCTGGAAGAAGAGGGGTTTCCAAATAGACGTTAACACAGAGTGCACGTCGCAACTGTGCAGCTTCCCTGGGGCCCCAAGAAGAGTGCTGTGTGGTCCACAAAGGGAAGGACTGCTCACCCTCTGGTGAGTGGTTAACGTCCATCTGTCAGCAGAAACCTGCGGCAGGAGCCTGGGCAGGCCAGGAGCAGGAGGGACAAGAGGACAGTTTTTCAGCTGTTCCCTTTATTGGGACCGTGTGTACATTGGGTAGAGAGACATGCCAATCTGTAAAGCAAACCATCAGCTAGCCTGACACAGCATCATGACCGATCAGCTTCTCCTGAAACCCACAGGAGAGGAAGAGCCCTTCTGACACGAGCCGTCCTGAGCAGACAGGAGGCGGGGACCGTTCAAGATAATGCCCCCAAATCTTAGGTTACTCTCCAACAGCACATCAACCACGAGGGGTGGGAGTGTCTGAAGGTGCAGAAGTGGGAAGAGAGACACTGTTTTAAACTTAAGAAAGCTGAAAAAAAAATGGTGGAGAGGGGCCGGCTCCGTGGCCGAGTGGTTAAGTTCGCGCGCTCTGCTGCGGCGGCCCAGGGTTCGGATCCTGGGCGAGGACATGGCATCGCTCGTCAGGCCATGTTGAGGGAGCGTCCCACATCCCACAACTGGAAGGACCTGCAACTAAGATATACAACTGGGTACGGGGGGGGGGTTGGGGTGATAAAGCAGGAAGAAAAAAAAAGATTGGCAACAGTTGTTAGCCCAGGTGCCAATCTTTAAAAAAAAAAAAATGGTGGAGAGAAAGCAGGGTAAGAATGTCCGTGTTGAGAGGTAGAGGCTAGAGGAGAAGTGCCAGGTTCTTTCATTTCCTTGAACTTGCTCTCCTGGTGGCAAATGGAGAAGACAGTCTTCCAGCTTTCGTTCAGTCGGGTTCACGCCATTTAAATCACGAATCTAATTAATTACTAAACTTCAGACCATTTGCCAGTAAAAGGACCTCTACTCTGAAGCTAGAGGGGAGGGGGGAGATGACCCCATGTACCTGCTCGGTTCTTTACTTGTCAAGTTTGAGGTTCTCAGGTCCATAACATGCCTCTACATGCCCCTATTTTTAAGACCCCTTCCAGGGCAGGCTCCATTACGACAAAGGTAACTTTCAGTGTGTGTCTAGGATGAGGCAATGGAGATGGTCTCACCAACTCCCTCAAAGGAAGTGTTACTTCCAGAGAATATCCATTTCCTTTCCAACCCTACCACCTGCCTACATTTGAGGGTGCCTTCCCCAACCCTGCATGCATCCTGCCATGCCACGCTTATAAGCAGACAGCATTCTTAGAAGTAAAATTACTACAACAGGGTTTCAATCACAATTTTCTTCCCGATTTGAAGAACAAATCACATAATTTGTTCTTCCCCAAAGTACGGAATTTGGCAAAAATTACCGTTGTTGTTCTGCCCAACCCTTGAGATCTCTCCCCATCAGAACCAATGGTGTGTGTGCGTGTGCGTGCGTGCATGCTTGGGGGCGTGCCTCAAAGTAGAGAAGTAAAAATTCCGAATGGAGTAGAGTATTTAGCAATGCAGACAAAGTGAGGAAGAGGAGAGGCAGAGAAAACAGGAGAAAAAGTCTGAAGCACAGACTGTGATGCATTTATGCAGTAGAAATAATTAACCTTTGCATTGTGCAATACTGAGCATTTAATTCAATACATTCTGTCCCATCTTAGACTGTCTTTTCTCCCTAGCATCGTGTCTACTGTCCATTTCAGTCCTCTCTGCTCCCAGAATAGGCAGGGAACTAAAACCGACACACAGACTCACTTCCACAGACCCTCATGGTGGCTTCTGGAGTCCCTCTGTGTCTTTCTTATGGCCCTGATTTATCAAAGCCTATCCAGAATCACAGCTATTTTTCTACTGGTCTGTAAACTTCCACCTCTCTTCACCCAGGCTACACATGGTTCTTTGGGTTTTATCACCAACACAAGACTGGACACCTCCTGTGGGCAGGTGGGTGTCTGCGGGGGTCACTTCTGTATCCCCACACCATTCTTCAGGCACACAGCAGACAACCAACATCGTAGGCTGAATTAGTGAATGGAGCAGAACTCCTAGAGCCCGTTTGGGAAGCTGCGCTGTAATGAATCTTGTTATATCGTAGACTTACCCCAGAGTTTCTCAACAGTGCCACTATTGACATTTTGGTCCAATAATTCTTTGTTGTGGGGGCTGCCCTGCACGTTGTAGATGTTTAGCAGCCCCCTGCCTCTGTCTACTACATGTCAAAAGCACTCTCCACCCCAGTTGTGACAACAAAAATGTCTCCAGACCTTGCCAAATGTCCTGTGGGGGACAAAATTGCCCCTGGTTGAATGAAAACCATTCACGGCCTTACTCAAATGGAACACTAGACACGAACCGAAATACCAACGAGTTACGTTTACACTGATGCTCACACTAGCCTTGCAAGACAGGACAGATAAGTGATTATTCCCACTTTACAGATGAGGAAACTGAGGCTTAGTGGTTTAACAGTCACAGCCTGCAGGTGGCAGAACTAGGCTATGAGGACCAGCTGTGTAATTTCAGGGGCAGAGCCCTCAACCCCCGAACCAGCCCCTGGCAGAATGGCTGTGAAGATCAGATGTGATAATGCCCTGAAGCACCTGGCACAGCTCCTGACACAGAGAGGCCATCAATCAATGGTTTATTATTCTGTACATCATAATGTCTTCAGACATATCACACAAAGAATTTGCTTTGTGACACATGGATTTGTAATTTTAATTTTAAACCAACTTCAAAGAACGTTCTTTGAAGGGAAATGCTCCCTGGCTGGTTTCTGCCATGACCCTGGCCCCATCCTCCCCACCACCCTGAAGAGAAGGGCTCTCCCCTCACCTCAGTGATAATGGCCTTGTGCCGTTTAATTCTCTTCAGTTCTTCTTCACAGCTCATGACATACGATCTGGACAGAGGCAACGGCTGCCCATTCCGACAGAGAACCGTTTGGCACTTGCCCACATTAGCAGAGGTCAAGGTGAAGGATCCTCCTGGGTCCACAGGGTCATGCCTGATATGACAGAGGACAGCAGCACCTCCAAGTTTCTGCCCAGCAGTTCCGAGTTTCCTGGAATCGGAAGGGCGAAGGTAAACACAACCTGTCATGTGTCAGTTTTGCTAATTCAACTTTCTGACTGGGCCACTGGACAGCGCTTGGGGAAAACCAGAACCTAGGGGTTCACTTCAGCCTCTTTCACCCAAGCAGGCTCTGCTCAGCTTCTCAGAGGAAAAGAGCCCCCGGAATCTGATACACACAGAGAGGTGTCTGCTCACAACTGAGGCGAAGTGTCACTTTACCACTAAAGCCCCAGGAGCTGATGTGGAGGAAAGGAGCCCCTGTCCTGTGCATCCAGCCTGCTACCGCCATCTCAGCACACTCCAAAGACAGAGGAAAATGACCACTGCTTGCCCCATTCACCTCTCTAAATGCCCTCTGCTCCAGGGAGAGGAAATTGAAGGGACCACTCAAACAGGAGCAGGTGCAGACATACGAGACCCATTGACACATACACTCCAAAACTACCTGACCACATTCTCTGCCTTTATAAGGATGTTTGCTGGTATGAGCTTTTAAGTATTGGACCATTCATGTTCTTGCCCTATATGGTGAAGGCTTCCTGGACCAGTGTCTATCCTAGAACATTTACAGAAAGGACATTCTAGTAATCAAGCTCCAAAGTGCTTTTATTCATGACCATTAATCCAGAGACTTACTGAATACACACAGCATCTGCAAGTTTCAACAATCAAAAGGAGCCAAGAACTCCCCATGACAAGCCCCACAGACAGCAGTGCCTCCCAGGTCCCCGCTGATCCTGAGTGGCACAGGAGCAAGAAGGTGAAGACAGACAGACTCCTCCAATGACAAGGGCAGACCCTCAGGTGCTGTCAGCTCACATCACCGGTCTACGTTAGGTAAGTGGCAGTAATAGCAATGGAAACCAGGGCTGCCTACTCACATGCATTAGGATGTCACGCACAAAGAACATACAGTTCTCCTAAGGACCGAAAAGATCACCACACATCCCATAACTTATTAACAAAGAGGGAAAAGAGGAGGCACACAAATGACCCTGGAGATGGGCCGACAATTTGGGTCTCTACACTCCAACTTCAGGACACTCATGACTGGATTTGGCTTTAGGCCCTGCCAAGGCAGCACCACTTTCTTCCTTTCAAAGGCATAATGACTCCTCTCAGCAAAGCCAGAAATAGACGGAATTTGTAAAAAGTACAGCTGGTAATCAGAGTTTGAGGTTCTTAAGTTCTTAATTCTTTCCAATGTTTGAGAGTCTATAAAAAGCAGATCTCTTGGAGGGGCGGGTGATGGGGTTGTGTGTGTGCACGTTTGTGTCTGTGTGTATGATACTTACTTGTTTTTTTCTTATGATGGGATGGTGGTAAACACAGAAAAGGAGATGGATGTGCCTGGCAGGCAGAACGTCCTCTGGAGTCTTACTGCCTGAGGTCAAATTCCAGCTGTACCATCTGTTAGTTCTTAGAGCAATTTGCTTCACCTCTCTGTACCTCAGTTACTCATCAGTAAAACAAGAACAGTAACATTATCTATCTCACCGTGTAAAATTTATGGTATTAAGGTATTTAGAACAAGGACAGGTACATATTAAAGGCTCACTAAATAAGAGCTACCACCAGTATCCAATGGTTAATTGTACCTGCCCACCGAGACTCTGAAAGACAGGTGTGTCTGGCAGCAAAGAACCTCACTGGGCCTGCCCTCACTGAGCGCTTCAGGAGGACCTCTTCCTCGTGACTACACCCACGACTCAGGGTATCTGTAAAGGCTCCTCTGAAGCAGCATTCCTTAGCAGATACTTTTCTATCCCTGTTACAAAGATACTTCCTCTGGCAGATTATCAAGAGAGAAAAAGGAGAGAAAGAGAAAAGATCGTCATTGTTCCCACGACCTTTAGAGCACTCTCCACTTCTTGGTCCCACATCAGCAAGTGTTTGCAGCACAATATTAATAGACAGGCAATTCCTTTACAACCTACAAAGCCGTTAAAGTGACAAAAGAACGAGCAATTCTTTGAAGGAGGGAATGCTTGTAACATTCAGCCCTAAGAGTTACAAACAACATTCCACAATTCCTATGGTGACCAAAACCTCTAGGCAATGGCCTATGATTCTGCTAGAAACACTGTCTTGAACATTCAGTAACAACATATGAAGAATGATTTAACGCCTGGCCTAAAATCTGACCATCTCAAGTTCACAAAGGTTTGCATGATCTCAAACCAGCGACAGTATTTCATACGAGTGAACATAACAAGATCAAAACAGTCCATTTGAAAGAGCAGCTCACACACCAGAGGGTCTAAAGAGCCTCTGGAGCCCAGGTGATTTTACGGGGAGGGTGAAGTGCATTGCAAACAATCTGGTGAAAATCTGGAATCACGACAAGCCTGTGAGGTCCAGTTCTAAGAGAAACCAAGTTCCTGTCACTGACTCGACTTCCTACAAAGTTGTCTGGACATCAGCATGTCTCAAACAGAACACAGTCCATCCTGACGTTTGGGCAAAACCAAGCGGCCTGAATGCATCTTGCATACCCTGTTCCACAACAGTGCTTTGAGATCGCTGGCACCTAGTTTTCTAATCCGAGGGCAAACACTCAAACGAGAGCAAGAAAACACACAGCAGGGACTCTCAGCTTTACCTTTGCATAACGATGAACGTATTGACCATGTATTCTTCTTCATTTTTTGTTTTCTGCAGCTCTTCTGCCAAAATGTCACTCATAGTACACTGGAGAAGGTAGGGTACCTCCACGTTACGGTCTCCGTCAAATACACCATACAGGGCCTCCCGGTTGTCACAGAAGTTATTCACCGACAGGGCTGCAACACACAACCTGCAAAGCAAGAATGCTTTCGTGCTAAGTCTACTCACCTCTCCCTCTCCACGCCCACCTGACTCACTCTTTTTTCAGATTTGCCTATCCCAGTCTTGTCTCTTTCTTCATGACTACAGACTAAGAATAGACTAACCCCAGCTCACTTATATCAACTAATCTCTGTGGGCAAAGAAGAATGATTAGCACATATTTGTGCTTCACACATGGTTTCCCCCACCCTTATCTTCTGACGATTTTATTTTTAAATGGCAGTGAAAGAAAGGGCATAGAGGCATGGGAAATAATACAAGAATATGAAGCCACATGTCCACATTCATTCACAAAACATTTATTAAGGAGAACTTTCATATCAGGCAAAAATGGAGTAACAACTAAAACATTGCAAAAATATATGAAAAACATATAAAAACATATGAAAAGTCTCAAACAACTTTAAAAAAGGCAAAAAAACCCCACAAAAAACCAGTGTTCAGAGACTGGACAATAAGAAGTGCAGATCAGAGAGCAAGACTGGTGCCTGCCCAGCTTACTGCTTGGAAACAATTTCTGGGCTGCAGCACAGGGAGGAGAAACCCAAGTGGAGCCTGGCGGCCTCCCCAGGTGGAAGGAGGACGGGCGGGAGAGTTCAGAGGCGGAGGACTGGTGGGAGGAGAGCTGTGCGGAGGGGAAAGGGCTCTGGCGGCCTGCAGAGTCTCCACTCCATGCCTCCAAGGAACCAAACTGTTTCCCAGGAACTTCGCTGTGTCCCAGAAACTATCCAAAGTGAAACACAGAGAAAAAAAGACTCCGGGAAAAACAAGAAGCCAGGGCATTAGTGAGCAGCGGCATAACTTCAAGCAGCCTAATTTATAGGGAATTGGAGTCTTCAAAGGAGAAGAGACAGAAAAAACTTTTGAAGAATTAATGGCTGAAAATACTTCAAATCTGATGACGTCTATGAACCTACAGATACAAGAAGCTCAACAAACAGTAAGCAAAAGGAAATGAAAAAACTTGACTGAGGCACATCAAAATCAAATGGCCGAAAGCCAGGAATAAAGGCGGGGGAGGGGGGAGGAACAAAGACACGAATGACAGCTGACTTCTCATTAGAAAATGCAGAAGACAGTGGAGCAACATCTTTAAAGTATGATAGGCAAAACTGTCAACCTGGATTTCTAACCCAGCGAAAACAGCTTTCAAAAGTTGATGTGAAATAAAGATATTTTCAGATGCACAAAATAAAAGAATTTACCACCAAAAGACTGGCACTATAAGAAACGTAAATGGAAATACGTGAGGCAGAAGAAAATGCTACCAGATAGAAATCTGGATCTACATAAAAGAATGAAGTGTACCAGAAATGACAAATAGGTGAATAAATACAAAATTTTATTTTTCTTATTTTTAAAGTCACTTTACAACAGTGGTTCTCAATGGGGGCAATGCTGTCCCTAGGAGACACTTCTGATGGTCACGACTGGGGGCATGGGTGTATCACCTCTAGTAGGTAGAAGGAAGCTGCTAAACATCCTACAGTGCACACAACACCCGCGCCCCCCGACAACACAAATAATTATCTGGCTGAAAATGTCAATAGTACTGAAGTTGAGAAATCCTGCTTTGGAAAATAACTGACTGTTTAAAGTAAAAATTCTAACAATGTATTTTGGGGATTATAATAAAGGTAGAAGTAAAACATACAACAACAATAACAAGAAAAGTAGGAGAGGGGAAATGGAAGTACACATGCTAAGGTTCTCATAACATAGGTGAAGTGATATAATATTACTTAAAGGTCAACTAATTAATAAGATACAGATTATACTATAAACCCTGAAGAAACCACACACACACACAGAAGGGAGGACTAGTAACAACAAATAAAGGAGATAAAACGGAATTCTAAGAATTACTCAACCCAAAAGAACAAAAAAAAAGAGAGAAAAAGGGAATCAAGAACAGATGAGACAAAGAAAACAAATAATAAGTTGGCTGATTTAAACCTAATCATATCAATGGTTTCATTAAAAATAAAAATGGTCTGGAGCAGGCCTGGTGGCATAGTGGTTAAGTTCAGGCACTGCACTTCGGCAGCCTGGGATTTGCAGGTTCAGATCCTGGGTGCAGACCTACACACCACTCATCAAGCCATGCTGGGGTGGCATCCCACATACAAAATAGAGGAAGATTGGGACAGATGTTAGCTCAGGGACAATCTTCCTGAAGCAAAAAGAGGAAGATTGGCAGCAGATGTTAGCTCAGGGACAATCTGCCTCACCAAAAAAACAAAACAAAAAAACAAAAAACAAAAAAACAAAAAAAAAAGAAAAGAAAAAGAAAGGTCTAAACACCCCCCAAAAAGACAGCAAGTCAGATTGGATAAAAAAAAGAAAGACCTAACTATAGCATATATAGTTTATAACCTATAAGAAATACATTTTAAATATAAAGAGACAAGTAGATTAAAAGTAAAAGGATAAAAAATGATACACCATGCTAATAAACTAATCAAAAGAAAGCTGGAGCAGCTACATTAATATCAGACAAAGAACATTTCAGAACAAAGAATATTACATAAATGAATTCATTTATAATGATAAAATGGTCAGTACATCACAAAGCTTTAACATTCTAAATGTTTACGCTCTTAATAACAATGCTTAAATACACTAAGCAAAAACTGAGACAACTACAAGGAGAAACAGACAAATGCATAACTATAGTCTCTCCGTCATCAACAGCACAAGTAGACAGAAAACCAGTAAGGAGATTTAAGACTTGAACAACGGCATCAACCAATTTGATCTAATTGACACTCTACCCCAAAACAACAGAACACATTTTTTTTCCCCAAAAGCACACAGAATACTTACCAAGATAGGCCATATTCTGGGCTAAAAAAACGTCTAAAATTTCAAGATTCAAGTCATTCAAAGCATGTTCTCTAACCATATTGAAGAAATGGCTTAGAAGGAAATTTACAGGTCTAAGTGCTTAGAAAATTAATGTCCTAAGTTCAAATCAATGACATAAGCTTCCACCTTAAGAAACTAGAAAAGTAAGAACAGAGAAATCTCAAAGCAAGCAGAAAGGAAAAAATAAAAATAAGAGCAGAAGTCACTGAAATTCTTAGAAAACAGAAAAATATAGAAAAATCAATGAAACCAAAAGATGGTTCTTTGAGAATATCAATAAAATTGATAAACCTCAAACCAAATTGATCAGGGTAAAAAGACAAGACACAAATTACCAATGTTAGGAATGAGTGAGGGGAGAGGCATCACTGCACATCCTACATATATTAAAAGGATAATAATATTATCAACAAGTTTATCCCAACAAATCTGAAAACTAGATGAAATGGATAAATTCCTTGAAAGACACAAATTACTAAAGTTCATTCAAGAAGAAAGAGATAATCCTGTATTAATGAAATTGTATGCTAAATTAAAAACCAAAGAAAATTTCAGGCCCAGATAGTTTTATTGGTAAATTCTACCAAGCATTTAAGGAATAAATAATATCAATTCTGTACAAACTCTTCCAGAAAACTTAAGCTGAAGAAACACTTCTCAAATCATTCTATGAGGCAAGAATTACCCTGATACCAAAACTAGACAAAGACATCATAAGAAAAGAAAACTAAAAGCTAATATCAACTATGAATAGAGACATGCTCAACAAATTACCAGCAAATTGAATCCAGCAGCACATAAAAAGGATAATACATCATGACCAAGTGGAATTTATTCTGGAAATGCAAAGCTGATTCAACATTTTTAAATCAACGTAATTTACCACATCAACAGACTAAAGAAGAAAAAAATACGATCATTTCAATTGATGCAGAAAAAGCCTGTGACAAAATTTGACACCCACTATAAAAACTCTTAGCAAACTAGGAATTAAAGGGAATTTTCTTAATTTGATAAAGGGTGTCTACAAAAATACCGTCAGCTAACATCATACTTAGCTGTGAAAGACTACATTCTGACCGGAGATATATGGACCAATGATAAATAAGCATGTGAAAGGATGATCAACAATCATTAATCATTAGGGAAACGCACATTAAAATCAAGAGATATCACTATTAGAATGGCCAAAACCACCACCACCACAACCTGATAATAACTAACAAGTATGGTTAGGATGTGGAGCAACTAGAATTCTCATACGTTGCCAGTGGGAATGCAAAATGGTAGACACTTTAGGAAACTGTTTGGCAGTCTTCTAAAATTATATACTTATCATATGACTCAGAAATCCTACTCGTAGGTATTTACCCAAGAGAAATGAAACATATGTTCATACAAAAACCTCTGTGAAACTGTTTATAGCATTATTTGTATTTGCTAAAAACTTCAAACAATCTAAATAATTTATCCTTCAAATGGTGAATGGATAAACAAACCATAATGTGTCCATGCAATGGAATAATACTCTGCAATAAAAAAGGAACACATGTAACATCACAAATGAATCTCAAATGCAGTATGCTAAGTGAAAGAAGCTGGATGGAGAAGGCTATACACTGTCTAATTCCATTTATATGACATTCTAGAAAAGGCAAAACTAAGGGAACAAAAAGATTGGGAGTTGCCAGGGGCTGGGGTGGGGAGAGGAAGTGACAACAGAGGGGCGTGGGGGAATTCTAGAGGGTGGTGGAGCTGCTCATGGTTACACAATGATAATCTTTCATCAAAACTTGCAGAGCTGTACACTAAAAAGGGTGAATTTTACTGAATATAAATTCTACCTTCTTACTGTATATAAATTAATCAAAAGAAAACAAAAATTAAGCACCTGATATGTATCATGGCCAGAAAACAGAGCGATGAACCTGAAAATATAGTCCCTGCCCTTAAGGAGTGTGGGGATAAATAATAACAGCAATAAGCATTATCATTAATAGTAGCTAACACTAGAAAGGATTACTACACAGCACACATTGTTCTAAGTACTTCACATATGTAACTCAGGGGATCCTTATCACCCTATGAGGGACAGGGAGTATTTTTAGTGCCATTTTACAGAAATTAAGCCAAAGAGAGGTTGAGTGACTGCTCAAGGTCACACAGCAAGCAAGTAGAGAGCCCAGATGCAAAGCCAGGCAGTCTGGCTCTCATCTCAGTACTTTGAAATTCCTGCCTCCACTTATTAAGAAAAATAAGTCACCCCAAGTTATAAGGCCAGTAGTGGCAAAATAAAATTTAATAATATAATATTAAATCTTCTAATTCTGTCTCCCTTCTGTAAGCTCCTCTTTCTGCTGAAGCTTCCTGTTTGTCTTTCCGTCTGAGGAAGAACCTACATTATCCAGCTGCAGCTCCCTGCTCAGGTTTCCCCAAAGGACCTGAAAGGACCTGACAGGGAGACAACACGGCACCCCTGGGGCAGGAGGGAGGGGGAGAAGAGAACCGACACCCATGGGGATTTGGAGGTGGGACCACCACAGTTCTCTCCTTCCTTCAAGACGGCAAGTGGCAAGTTCCTTGTTTATATAACCATATTATCTACAATTCAAAAAGAAAACACTTGAGAAACTTCTGGCAAAACCAAAGGATGAAAAAGGGGAAACAGAGTGAGGGCTGGGTGGCATGGGCCTCCTGAGGTGCTGGTGGAGGTGATGGCGTGCAGGCGTGCTCACTTTAGGGTGAGTCATAGAGTTGTATGCTCATTTATGTACTTTTCTATACCTATACTTCAATATAACAAAAATTTAAAAAAATTAATTGTACAAGGGGGAATTATGAAGAAAAAACAGATCTAATTGGCCTATGGCTTCACTAATATACAAGACTAGATTATAAATTTTAATATCCACAGATGTTTAAAAACCAGTCTTGGATTTCACACCAATGTTCTGGAATTAGAAAGCAGTTTCACATACTGGTGTTCTAAAGTAAGACATAAGGTGTTTTACCCTAAAAAGAAAGATCTCTAGGAAGGAACTCTGAGTGCTCCGAAGAATGTATAATTTCTTCCTCTTTCCCCCAAAGACAATGATATACAGTGCAAAGTACATAGAAATAATGCAACAACCAGAGCCCAGGCACAAGCAGTTATTTGGCCTTTACAGGGCAAATGGAACAGAAGTGTTGAAAGGGGGGCTGCCTCTTCTCTAGACAGCACAACGCCAAATTGCACTCTTAGCAAAGAGGAAAGGATCAGTGTGTCAGATCCTGAACTTGAGTTGATTTTGTTTTCTGTCCCAAAGAAAAGCAGTCAGCGTGGTAACCACAATTCCACCTTTCATTTTCCACGAAGGGTATTCAGCTAGTCAGTCAAGTGATTCTTAATCCTGGATGCACATTAGAATCACCTGGGGGTGATTTTAAACCATTCTGATTTAGAGTCTAGGTTGGAGAATTTTTAAGTTCCTCGCCTGACTGATTCTAATGTGCGCCCAGGGTTGAATACTAATGTTAGCTATTATTGGACCATCCTCCACTTTCCGTCCTTCCCTTACTCTCAATGTTTGTGTTCCTAAACCTTAGCTAATTAAATTATGACTATTCTAATTTATAGGGTTCTTTACTGTTCTGGTACTAATTATTAGCATCTCTTCATAAAAAGCAAGCAAGCCTCACAATTCTCAGGAAAACTAACATTTGCATCTAAGACAGGGAAGGTTGGTGAAAATAGGGAAGAAAAAAATTAAGATGGACAAGTGCTGGTGGCAAGACAAGCAGTTGACATTACAGGGAAGGGACATCAAACTCCTGTGAAGCTAATTCGGATTGTAAAAAACAGCTCCATGGAACCAGGGACTGGTTAACATAAGTGATCTCGAATATGGACAATCAAGGCTACTTCTCCCTTAATACTATCCCCGTTTTGCTTGGTAAACAGGCTTCAGAGAAAGATAAAGGGGCTTTTCAAAGAGCAGGGATGCATTTCAATACTTAGGCCTTCTCCACACACTGGAGTCTCACATAGATGTAATGTGTCAGTTACACGGTATCCTAGCAACATCTCTCACAAAGAGAGAGTATGTGATGCCAAGCAGAGCTCAGCTTAATGTCCAAATGTAAGTCATGAGGTGGCCTCACATTGGGGAAACATGCTCAAATAAAGGTTGCATGAGGAAAGAGCGTGCCAGCACTGGGTTTCTGTCGGCCCTACTAAAGAAGGGAGGCGGGCAGGAGGCGGTTCTCACTCCCAAGTTTCACCCACTTACTTGTTTTTCACTCCTGAAGCTTCAGTGTAACCATGGCTCCATACAGCTGGGGCTCCAGATGCATCTCCTGCTGAAGGCTGATCAATCTTGAAACAGCGGATATTACTAATGAGAGAAATAGAGGGGACAGGACTCATTAAAACCAAACGTGGGAATTGCTACTTTTATCTGAGAAATGAAAAACACCTGCTAAGCATTCTATACTTACCATTTCTTACTGTGTTTAATGTGTCTGAAATATTTATCAGCAACAAGAACTAGCTACTCATCATAATGAAAACAAAGGGGTACATGCATAGCGCATGAAAATTAGTTTTTATCAGCATCGAATGGTGATTATTAGAGCCTTTCACACACATTGCATTAGATGGCTGCTCTCTCCTTGGCACGAGAAAAGAAAACTTAACTGTTAAGTTAGAGGTATTCTTAGAACATGAAAACCCAGATTTGAAAAGAACGAAACTTAAGCCACAATTATATTATATTTGGGAGATGTGAGAGAATTCTGCAACATTCATCCTCAAATCCAATTTCTGCCCACCTCACCCCCTCAAACATTTCACAGATATTACTGAGGACTTGCCATCCCGAAGCTTCCAATTCTTTCCTCACACAACTCTCCACGCTAAGACAAACGACATAAAGTTACAAAGTAAGTGACGGGCATTTCAATAAGTTGCACGTTAACTATGTATATTTAACTGGGAGACAAGTCCTTATCTCACCTCGGCCCCCAAATACCATAATTGATCCAACAGGACCCAAAACAGAACATGAAAATGGTAAACTTTCCAATTTATAATAATTTCCAATTATTATAAACCAGCCTACTAGAAAGCACTCAATACCCCCAAACAGGAAGTCACACAGATGTGAAGCAGGTTTTTAAAAAGGCTGGCTACCACATGGTGAAATAAATCCTGCTTACTTGTAAATTGCCACTAGTTTTTCCCCTATTACTAAAATAAGAGAAAGAGCATATGCGTAATCTCTTAACTTAAAACAACACCTAAACACTATTGTCATGGATCTAAGAATTTAAATTATCTGTCGGCATTCATTAATTCCAAAATATAACAAATACTAAATACCCTTCCTAAGAACCATTTGACTGTAAGAAGTAAATCAATACCTCATATTATACACTTTGATTCTAGAAATAGCTGGTGGCAATTTCTGTGAAATTTAAGAATATTTTGTTAAAGCAGTTTCTACTCTCAGTTATCAGCAAACACTCACTTTTCTCTTTACCCTAAAAACTGGAAAAATATAAAAATCATAGATGGTACCAATAGAAAACCCCCAAATCAAATTAATACCTCATTTTACAGCAGGGCTATGTATCCTCTTTTCAAAGTTTTCAATCCTACCAATAAAAGAGGGGCATTAAAAAAGAAAGTCCACCATTATTTGCTTTCCATATGACCTGGTACCAAATTTTATCCATGTACAATGGTAAACAATGCAACAGGTTTCTTAAGGCATACCTTAAGGCTCTCACTACATCTTGGCAGGCTTTCTGAATTCTAGAGAAAAACTGAAGGCCCACTTCTAAAGACATTTATGCTTTTTACAGAACACAGAGCCTTCAACGAAATAACTCCACTTTCTAGCCTGACTATTAAAGAAAAACATAATCCTTAAACTCTTTCATAATCCTTCCTGGTGAAGAAGCAGTTTCCCCCTCTCTGCCTAGCTGAATACAGTGTGGCTGAGCAGCTGTCTGAAGTGGCCTGAATGCTGACTCTTGTACATCTTTAAACGTGTCTGAGAGACTGGGAGCTGGAGCTCAGTCACACAGAAGAGTCACCATATGCACTTATCCTGGCTCCCGTAGAACAAAGAGGCCAGCCCTCCAGGAGCGCAAGTAACACATTAGCTATGGGAACTCCTCCCAGTTACTAAGACGCTACAACCTTGTGGAAACTAAACAGAAGATAACATTTTGACATAAGAGCATTACAATTTCATCGTCTGTCACTAACTTTTTTTTAAATCTGGGAGCACACACGTCCTTCACTGTAGCAGCTCAGGCCACTCCAGCAACACATGCCCACTGTAGAGCTTGAAGAAACAGATTTTCTCTTATGTATATGTAATTCCGGGGCCATTCTACATATGTGGTTTTGCACCTTTTTTCTAATTACATCATGAACATTCTCCTGTGTCATTTTATATTCATCGTAAATATAATTAGAAATATCTTGATGACTATCTCTGTGCCTAAAATGAACACCATATTTCTGACTGTTTTTTAGAATAAACTTTTGCCACAGAAAACATTGGTCTAAGTATGTGCATCTTTTAAAAGCTTGATACGTAGGTCCGCTAGCTCTTAAGAAAAGCTACATCCGTTCACGGTCCTCCAGCAGCATCAAATTTGAGGAAGAAAATGTTTTCATTTAAATATCTTATTTGATATTTCCTTGATATACTAATAAGGTTGAACAGATCTTTTCAGGTAACTATTTATACTTCTTTTGTTAAATGTTAATGTCCTTCGCTTATTTCCTGGCTGAGTGAGTACTTTTCCTACCGCCTTTATAAAAACATTTTTTATTAAGAGCATTAATGCTTTTATTTTTCATATTTTTTGCTAATGTTTCTTCTTAGTTTGTCATTTGCCTTTTAGATTTACTCCTGATAGCTTTTAAAATAGGCATTTAAAACTTTTATGTATAAAAAGTATTTTTATATACAAACAGACATAACAAATATCAAAACCCATCTATATATATTGATTTCTCTTCTTGTGATTTTTTCTCCCCTTTTTTGGCCTAAAAAGTCCTTTCTGGCTTGTAAATATATTCACATGATTTCTTTTTACTTTAAAAAATTATTTCATCTTATAGATTTAACTCTTTAATTTAGCTGGAATTTATTTTGTTGTGCAACAAGAATTCAACTTTTATTTTTCTCCAAACAGTTACTTCCATTTATTAACAAGTTTTGATATAATTTTTAATACAAAATTTCATATCATATTTGTAAAAATACTCAAAAGTTCCCTGTATAAAGATGAAACACATTTTGCAAATCCACGTACTCTTAGTTCTGCAAAGTCCCTGAGAGGGTACGTGGACCGTCCTCCTCATCTCAGAGAGAAAACCGAATCCGGGGTGACCGAGGGACGGGGCCAAGGCTTCACGTGCTGACAGACTGGAGAGCGCCTAGGTCCCCTGTGGCCTCCTAGGACACTCGACTAGGCAGTATTCTTCAGTTATATATCAAAATCAATATTCTCATTAAGTACTTAAAATGTCAACAAACAGGCACTAATCAGGCCAATTCCATCCGGGAATCACCTTAAGTGATTTTCAAATTTTGGTTTGCACTAAAGCCTAGGATAGTATCAACAGACCATTAATACCCCTCTTCTTTTCAAAATTCTACTCCTTTTTAGTTTTTTCTAAGATAATGGAAGGCAACTTTCAGCAACAGATATTACAACAGGATTTAAGTGTAGATGGCATACGCAATGATGAATGTGTGTCATTGTCCAAGACTGTCTTTAAGAGATACTGCAAAAAATTCTGAAAATTCAGAAAAGTTTAAAGAAGAAAATAAAGCCCATCAATAATGCTATTATCCAGAGAATAGCAGTATTTTAACATTTTGTTTTATAACCTTTCTGACATTTTCTAGGTGTGCACATGCACACAAACTTATTTTGCAAGAAGTGGGATTATACTATGCAAGTTCCTTGTAGACTTTCTTTTCACTTAACGTCATATGTAGAGAGCTTTCACGTTAGTAATATAACTACATCATTGTTTTTAATGTCTGTATAATATTCAACTGTGGAGCAAAATTTACTTAGTTCTATTGATACACATTTAGAGTTCTGTGATGAACATTCTTATAAGACATGTTTGCTAATGAAAAATGTCTACCTTTAATGTTTTACACAGTGAACTTCAACCTGTAATTCTCCAAACACCAAGACTGAGACGGCCTTGGTGAACTCCTTCCGGAAACAGGAAGAGAACTTGGCAGGTTCTAACTACTACACAATACGAGTTTTGTTTACATAATCTGAATTTTAGTCCCAAACTGTTAATTTCTCCACACTGTGCATCTCTTTCAAAATCCTTTCGTACATTTGCATTAAGCATCACACCATGTTATTAGTAATGAGATGTAAGCTTGTGTCTTGGTTGTTCGTTGCTCTCCCTGTGTCTTTATATCCCGTTTTCCTCTTTGTATTTATTATTCTCATTTTTTCTGGATATTTTTTCAGAAACTTTCTGAAAGGACATGTGAGTATCCAACTATTAAATTTTCTGGCCCTCCGTTTTGGTGAACTACAGACTCACAAATCACTCACTTCAAATGTGTGTAGATAAAGCTACTGAGTCAATGGATGCTTCGTATTTGGTGTAAGGATTTACTAGATTATAAATCCCACTGTCGGTGAACACTGATGGGGCTGCAGTGCTTCACAAAATACTTACTTCAGCAGTTCCAGGGTTTTGTGATCGAGGGTAAGTCGGGGGTTTCCAGTGAGGTCTAGTTCTTGCAGTTTTGAGGGCAAGTTTTCTGGTAAAGTGACTTCGCTTAGTTCATTACAGCTCAGGTCCACGCACTAAAGGAGCAAGTGGAAACAAGAAGAGACGGCCTGGAGAAGTTGTTCAGGTGGTTCTATGCCCCTGCTCGTTGCAGAGAATCAATCTGACCATTCACTATACTATGCCGGCCAAATGCAGAAAAATAAGTTTGTCTGCTACTCTGCCATAAACATTTAAAACAGATTTTGCTAAACGCAGTTAAAATTTTTACTTTCTTTGAATAACACAGAAATACATGCTCCTTACTGTCTTTATTTATATCTTTATCCTTTTGTTTATCTCTGCATTTAAAAATTAACTGAAAAATCTTAAGGATAAGCATCTGTTGTGGCCATGAGGTCATAATCACAACGTCAAAATGGAACAAACATTCAAAATCAGAAGATAATTCAAAAGAAGCTAAATAAGAAATTGGTAAAAGACTAGCGGGGAGCGTGCCTATTATATCCAAAAGAAAAAGGCATGAGTCGAACACGGATCCTGCCCTCCAGGCTCCAATACCTGGCCTCTGCAATAGCTCCTGCCTAGTCTCACCTGGGAAACCCACACAAAAAGGGTCAGCATATTAATTAGAACAAAAATTCTGTGTTATCTGCGAATGGGAATAATACCTCCTTTCTCACAAAACCAATGTAAGGCTTAAACAAGATAAATCCTAAAATGTGGGGCTGCACTTCTGCTATGGGAGCAGGGAACCAGGGTAGAAGGAGGCTCACCCCGTGCGAGAGAGAACAAGAGAAACTGGCGATTTTTCTGGATAAAAGAATGTGTAACACACAAGTCAGCAGAATGGGGTGGAAAGCATTCAATTATCTGGCTTGAGCTGGACCTGGCTGTAATTTTTAAAGGATGCCTAAACAGTCTATTAAAAGTCCTAAGATGGTTTGAAAGGCAAATTGTACCCAAAAATTTCAGAATCTTAAAAGTGGATAAAATCATCTTTATTTGGAAAAATTCTGAAAGAATTTAAATCTCTTATGGATTGGGGAGGGGTAGAGATTGGGTAAAACGAAAACCTATTATTTTTGGAGAAATATATTCTCAACTGACTTCAAATAATACAATCTTTCCACACAAACTGTTTCATTCCTTTGTTCCCAAACAGTAGCAATGATATAAAATCATATTGCAATTTTAAATAATTACTTATTATAATTTTGTATTGTTCTCTTCTCAATTGCTTCGTTAGCTCCCCGTCTTTTCCAAATGCCACTTCCGCACTCCAGAAGGCTTGACCTGCTCATTTTGCCTTCCTGCTCATTTCCTCCTTTTGAGCTGGCCAGGCACAGGCGGTGCTCAGGCACTCTGTGTCTCGGCAGATCCTTTCACTCTGAAAACATGGACTTATTGCACCATCTTCTGCAGTGGTTACTGGCCCCTGACTGCCTCTCCCACTTCATTTCCTACCCTCTTTCTCTCTCTCAGTTCACAACTGGCTTCTCACCTTCCCCTGAATGCACCAAACGTGCTCCTGCCTCAGAGCACGTATACTTACTGTCCCCTCTCGCTGAAACAGCTGTTCTCCAGGTGTGCACAGGTTCGGTCCCTCACTTCATTACAAAACCACATTACAAAAAGTTGGACAAAAAAGGCTTAGGAAACTTACCCTTAAATTTAACACCCTAACACAACCAGTTAGCATTCTATTTTTTTCTTGTAGCCTTATTATTATTAAAAAAATAATTTTTAAATCATAAATGTAGGTACAATTTCATTACATTTTACTTATTCTATATCTTCACTTTCATCATCTTTAATAACCTTAATACTTTGAGTAGAAGTGCAATAATTCACTTAACCTAAACAGTAATAATTGTGAAATGGTCATCTTCCTTTTGTTTTGTTTTTCCAACTATAAATAATGGTTGCATGAATAGTCAACTGGACTTTAATGAAAAAGTGATAACATAGTTGAATACTGGGCTACTCTGTCACATACATCAGCACGGATAAGACAACAACTGGACTAAAAACCATCTACTAGGTAATGATGAAACTATGAGCTTAAGGACTGACAGTGTGGCTAACTTAGAGCATAAGTAGTTGACAGAAACAAATTCAGAGGTCACAGCATGCATTATAGGGAAAGATTAAAGACATTTTAGAACACTACCGAATTTTATGAAACTGGCTAGTAATGTTTTTTAATGCTACCTAAAGATTTAAACTTTCAGAGTTCCGCAGATGTAATATTCTTTATTCCTTAAATTACCAAATTATAAAATGAGTTCGGTAGGGTAGCTACTTAGAAAGATAATGCTGGTGATGTCACGCCACGCAGATCTTCTTAGAGGTGGTGCTTATGCACTAGGCCCACCCAGGCCCATTTAGTCACCATGTCTTTAATTCGCTGCAGCAGCCACTTCCCTTCCATCTAGTTTCGTTATCCTGTTCCGAACAACATCATATTTCCCCTGGAGGACTACACTGCATCTTAACTTTGCTTTCAGTCTCTCTTCCCTCTGATCTACTCCCCACAATGCTGTCACAGGGTGATTTTCTGCTGTGGTTTATTTCATCCGGTCAAACTCCAGCTTCAGTCTTTCAGTAGCTCCCCACTGCCCTTCAATCTGCCACCAAACTCCTTGATAGGTCAAATAAGGCCCTTCGTCCCCACCTTTCACCACCTGCTTCCTCACACTCTGTATTCAGCTATGTCAAAGTTAATTCTAGTTCCTGCATGTGTCATGTTCTCATTTGTCTGTGCCTTTGCACATATTATTCTCTGTGACTGGCACTCTTCAAGCTATCCTTGCCTTTTACCTGGTAAAATCTGCCTTATTCTTTTAAGACTCAATTCAATGCCAACTCCTGTTTCAATTAGATATCCCTTGTTATAAATACCTGCTTATTTATTTCTTCCACTCGATTATGGCCTCCTGGAGAACAGGGATTGCTTCTTCTCGTCCTATATCCTAAGTGCAGTGCATTGCAAGGAGTAGATGCTCAACAAACGTTTTCATTGAAAGTATGAACAAACAACAAACCAATTGCCTAGCACTTGGTAGACAATTATTTGTTGAATGAATAAATGAAGGCATCTTACAAGAAGGTCTTTCAGTAATTAAATCTGCTAGGATGAGAACTGAGATACATATGCGTAGGTTAAATCCAGTCTAGAGTAAGTAGCATTGCAATCTAATTCTGATACGTCTTAAATGTGATTGTTTATTTCTGCATGAGAAGGCAACTATTTTCTTTAATGGTAGATAAGCACAGAAACACGCTTTTATAGATCTGCACATCAAAGGAGGTTTGTTCATAAAAATTATAGGATGTTGGTACTTGGTGCCAAGTTACTGGCGTTAACATAGATTTGCTCTACTTGTAAGTATTATTTCCTACCCTTTTAATAGTCCTCAACAGAAAATTTTGGGGTGAGACTGGAGAAAAAAACAGTACCAACATATTCTCTCTATATTGTTTCAGATATGTATCTCTGTTTTAATGCATTAAAATTCTGTTGAAAATACCTTGTTAAATAGAATGTCAAATCTGGCTATAACATGACTAACAGAAAAGTTACCTTTCCCTCTTTCAGGCCCATTCTAGGATATAGCAAAGAAAAATTACTTTGCTATATTCACAATTCTGGTAAGAATACTCAAAACAGAATTATCCAAACCTCAGAAAAAGTGAGATAATTCATAGTTGAGAAGGAACTCATGATTTAGAGGGAAACACTGTCAATAAATTTAGATAAGAGCATAGAAAAATAGTCAGTGTATCTTAAAGAAAAAGAAATTCAATCACATATATAGTTTAAGTAAAGCTCCAATATCTTTATTATGATGTTTTCCTCAGAAAACATTACTAATGGGCATATCAACTTTCATAGCAGTGTGTTATATATTATCTGCCAAATACTTGCCTGTACTGCCCTGAAATAGCAACCCAACCTGCTAGCTCTGAGATCCCGCAACCCTGTGCTCCATCCTTCTCCTGACCACAGCTAGTCCACCATCTCAATTGTGCTCCCAACAGCTCTGACAGTTCCAAAAACGGGGCTCCCAATCACCTTTCACATTTCCTTGCCCTCACAAGGTAAAAGCTGGTGAGGTCTAACATGCTTCCCCCACTGAATAGAGTCACTCATTTTAATTTTGAATCCATAAGAAGCAAATAAATCCAAGTATTCATTCAAAAGAACACTTATTTAATACCTATAAAGTGGCAGATAGTAAGCCAGATATTAGGGATCTACAGAGATGGCAGACACAGTCCTCACCAGGAAGAACTCCCAGACTAGAAGGGGAAATAAACAATACTAACTCCAGCTGCTGTGATCAACAACACATCCAAGTGTGCACAGTTGTGCCGGCAAAGGGGCACCTACTAAGACCTCAGAGAAGGCTTTCCAGGAGGGGATTTTTGTAAAGAATCAAAGTTAAAGATAACAAGGCAGATGAGAACAGGAGGCCACCTAGGGAGAGCTAACAGCATGTGCACCAGGCAGGAGATGAGAACAATGCATGGCGCATCAGGACACAAACCATGAGTGGTTGGTGTGGCTGGAGACGGATGGGCCTGAGAGCAGAAGATGGGGGTAGAGAGGCAGGTAGAGACTAAATGGAGAACTAAAGATTATGTGTCATGTGGAAGTAATCTGTACTACCTCTTCCCTCTCTTATAGTTATATAGGAACCAGAATATTTTAATTTCTTAGTAAAATAAATATACACATATGTATTATTTCTCATTATCTAACTTCTAGTCAAATTCTCTTATAACACTTAAACTACTATATAATCCTAATGTTGTAAAAGGCTGTGATCATTATTGTAGGAGGTTCATACATCTAAGTAAATTTATTAACTAAGTGAGCTAGTCTGAACCTTCTACCTCAAACACAGACCTCAAAGCCAAAGTTCTATTTTTTATATAAAATCATATTTGTCTATAATTATTTAGAAACGTATACTGTTTAAACCTCTCCACCTTTCAGGCAGTTGTAAAAGGAGACCTTTAATCTTGTATAAAGCCTTCCTTTTAAATTTACATACACTATCTGTGATTT